TCGAATTTCTTCTTAGTGAGATACACGGTGGAACAAACTACCCTAACAGATACGCATGAGTGCAAACTATTTCACATTTCGAAATTCCCTTCGGGCGTTCTTCACTATAGCAAATGTGTTGAAAATATTTGATCCACAGCAAACTCTAGAAACATTGACAGAAGCTGGCATAAAAAACATATTAGAAGATACTCGCTTACAACTAGATTACCCACTACATGTCATTACCTGCAATATCAAATCTTGTGTCTGTGCAGCCTAGCATCCCCTTCCTTTTATTATCTACTCCTGAGCCCCACAAACGAGAAAATGATGATACAAACATCCGTAAATTTTACCTATTAAGTGAATGAGTCTAGGACACCAGGGGAAAAATCATTATCCGAAATTCTATTGATAAACTTTTCTTTACTAGTATGATTTACGCCGCAGAAACCATGAAACCTATTCACTGTACAAATGACCGCTCCCACTTATGTGGCCGCTTACCGTATGTCGGTAAATATAAATTTTATTTATTTATTTATGTAATAAGTATGAGCAGTTACTGAAGCTCAAGGAATTTCGGGAAACAGGGTAAGCCAGTGTTTGGCTAGGCTACGTTTACATTCCTCCAGTTTCGCATGCTAATACAGCAGAAGCAAGTTTATTCCATACAGGCACAACCCGGTTTGCAAAGAACCTGGCTCTTGACTCCGGCCTAGATCTATGCTGCTTCGATTTCATGCAAAGACTCCGCAAGTTCTCTTACGTAGCTGGTTCAAACAGATCGGTGGGCCTGAGACCACTGAGACGTTTCATGATTTTGAACGTCTTTATTAAGTCACCTTTCAATCGGCGTCTTATCATTGAGAACAAACTGTAGCGCCTTGACGAATGCTACACAAGAAATCCGCAGCACAATAAGCCAGAAGACGGCAGGATATAAAGAATGTCTTAAGAAAAAAGCACTGTACAGTAGTTATGTAAATATAGCCTGAGGGCAGTGGGAGCAAGTGGTGAAGCAATGAGTTACACCACGTCGGAGCGCACCAGCCGGGAACACGCGGGCAAGATGGCGGACTAGTTCAAAATTGCAATCCGGTATATCTAGGCTTTGGATGAATGCAAAGTAAAACAAAAACGTGTACAAGTCTGGATGGTGATGCTTGATGGAGTAAAATGTCATTGTCACTACACAGGCCTCCCCCTAGAAGGCCGAGGGACGAGGACTTCGATCGATGTTGGCTTGCAGATGTATAAAAGGCAGAATCACAGGAGTTCGTTAGTATTTAGATTATTTAATATTCTTGTGGATTGGGATGCATCATCGGTGGGCTGCCCCAGCGGGCACATCGGACTACAAAAAAAACTGGCTAATCCAGAAAAAGGGCCGGTAGGATCTTTTACCGCTGCTGAAAGACGGTGCGCTTGGGAGAGGTCACTCCCCCCAACGCATTCCAATCTACTACCACAACGAAGCTGTAATCCTGTTCGGACCGGCGAGCCGTGTGGGACCAAAAACAACGAGCCAAGCACACGAGCAGCCGAAGCCGTTCTCACCTAACCTCCCTCTTCTAAACGGACGGAGACTGAAGCTTCAAAATCCGCCCCGTCCTTAGCCTCTACATCGTTTTAGCTGTCGTGACTTTCTCGCGCGTTACTTCTCCTTCCCCAGCTACTTCAACGGCAAGCTCTGTACCACGCATCAATACCCAGGAGTTACTTAATCAAATACAAAAACATCAGGAAGCACAGGCAAATGCGCAAGCGATCGCTGCAGCGGCTGCTGCGAAGTTGCCCAAGTACTACAATCCGTCAAGCGTTAATGCAGTGAAGCTTGCAGAGCAGCAAGAGAAGAGAAAATTATTGTGGTCCCGGAAAAAGGATGACAACAGCGAATCACAGGACAGCAAGACGTCACTCTGGGCGACTCATGTTTTGATCGCAGGCAAGGGTAAAACGGAAGCAGCTGCAAGGTTTCGGAAGTTGATGGGAATTCACGACGACGCAACCGCTCTTAAAGACGATGTGGAAGCTATCAATATCAATGGCGATGCGCAGAAGCGAGCAGAGGAACAGGCTGAACTTTTTCGCCGATTAGAATAGGAGTACGAGCAGTCCCGGGCATTGACTCGTACGCAAATGGGAGTTGGCCTCGGGTTCTCCTCTATTACCAGTGTCGATTACAGTGCTTACTCCGCCATGCAACAAGAAGCAAAAGACAAACTTGACTTGTGATTGTTTTTCCCGGAATCCATTGTACAGTTGGAATTATTTCGTTTCCTTTAATAATTTGCTTGCTCACTGCCACCTTCTTATATCAAAATGTGTACAAGTCTGGATGGTGATGCTTGATGGAGCAAAATGTCATTGTCACGACAAAATCCAAGTTAACTAACCGATCTTCATACGGTAACCCGCGCTGGCCTTCTAGCATTCGTGCAGCGTCTTTGTACATTCTCAATACAAATAATATCTTGCTGCAGATAAGGTGCCCCTGCCTGAACACAGTATTCTAGATGTGGTTTGATCACAGCTTTGAACAAGGAAAGACCACTGCCTGGGTACAACTCAGAACTATCCTGAGACAGCATAACTGCTACCGCGCTTCATTAGCCGCATGCCTGCACTGCGCCGAGGGTTTAGAGTCAATTGTCGCGATAATACCTACGTCACGTGCCTCGGTGACATGCTTCACAGGCTTTTAAAGCTGTAACTTGAATAATCCCTTTGCTTCTCGAACAATGAGGGCTGAAATAAAGAGGTGGGGGCAGACATCACCGGCCTATTGTTCAGTGAATCGACGTTCTCTCGGTCACTATTCGGGGAACGTTCCCATAGCATAAATCATGGCGGAGGGGGTAAGTAATCAAAGTCCACACAGTAGGAGGTGCATGGACGCGACTTCTTAAATGGAGTCTCACGCGCTGAATAACGGACAGAAATGATCCGACTTTTTCCACCACCATCCATGAAAGCAGTTGCGTTGCTGGAGGGAGTCACGGACAATGCCAGTAACACGCCTTTTAATGTCTTGACTCTAAAAGTCATCGGTACACCTGTAAGTCTTCGTATTATACACTTGCGCTGATGATGGCGGCGGACCGTTGTTACATATAAGACTGTTTTGTGCCTTGATTCCCCAGCCGCGTCAAAGGAAGGAACTCGCCTCGACTCTGCACACAAACGCCATATTTACAACTCTGAGGCAAAGTGGAAGTAACCATGATTGTTAAAACTTACCTGTCCACTCGTTCGATCGACTGATCCACCACACCGCGGCCGGCGATTCTATTAGCTCCCACTGTCAGTCCCATCACAGACTATACTTGCAGTGAAGGCAACTTAGGCCACCAGACGTAACCACCGCCGACCATCCAGCTTGAACGTGCCACGGCTACGCTAGCATCATTTTCGAAAAATGTGGAACGCTTCACGATTTTGAGTGTCATCTTCGCGCAGGGGCTATGCTAATCATCTCTGTCTCGTTCCAATGTTAGTATATATACCGCGGAAGCGAGTACAGCCTCCGACATTTTAGCAATAGTCAAGAGATGAGGTAGATCCTGGAACAAGTCGTCCTTGACCGAGTCATCACTGCAGTCAGTTGGAGCGTACGCGGAGATCACAAACAAGTTTCGTCTATCCTGGCGGCGCTTGTTGATTCCACATGAACCTCAAAATTGAACTGAACACAGTCGGCTGTTAATCGGGAACCAGTTCAGTAGTGCTGCCTCGGACTTGCCACTTAGTGCTATACCTACACCAGCCAAACCCGCTGAGGCTGCTTTTGTATCGCCAGACAGACACAGGTGATATCTGGTTTTGTGGTCAGTGGGAGATGTCAATGTAGGCAAAGTGCTGGGAACTTGGAATCAGGTTTCTGAAAGGCAGCAGACATCAAGATCGGGGAGCTCTAGGACGAGCCTTAGACTGACTTGCTGTCCAATCTGCATGAGTGTCAGAACGCTGAAGCACGCAAGACGAGCGAAGACCGGGGACGAAGGACAGCCATAGGTTGAACACCGTGGCTTGAAGCGCAACCGGAATTGCAGCCAGATTTTTGAACACATGAGTCATATAATGGAAAGCAAGGATTGTTAGCAAACAAACCATTTACGTGTGATGTCGCGTGAATATGAAAAGCAGAAACGGTAGCTGATGAGCATGTTGTAGTACAGCGCATGATTTTGTGACAAGGGAATACCGCCTGGTTGCCCAAGCCAAAATAGGGATTTGACTTAGGGGACCCAACCCCGAGCCTTTAGCTAAATAACCTACCCACAAGGGACGAATTCAGAGAATTGCGCCAATGGGGAGTCGTTGGCTGAACGTTCAGTTCATACATCTTCCGTTTGGTATATCACCAAACAGAGGCCCTATACTTACCAAGTAATCAGCACACTTGCTGGACTACAATGCCCCACCGATGTAGAACACTGTCGCCAAACAATTCCTTAGAACGGGTTACATGCGACTCACCCAGCTGGCACCACGAGGTGGTTCGGAAAGCCAGGGTTTATGGAATGTAGGATGTATTTTGTTTATGCATGACGTTCTTCTGCATCTATAGGTGGCCGATAAAAGAGTGGTTTAGGCATCTGCTTTGCAGCTTAGACATCATTAATTGAAGCGCTCGAGATGGACAGTGATAGTACAATATTCTTGAACCGAAGGCGAGTCCTGTTAGTTGCGCTGCATTGACGCATATGCAAAAGGTTAGGGAAAATCATTTTCCCCGTTGCAGATAAGCACATGCACCGCATTGTCACACAAGGTTTGTACTAGGTAGTCTAAAAAGAATTCATTCGCGCGCAATGAACGCATTCACTGTGAAGAGATTATTAATTTACATATTGTAATCAAATGAAACAAGATACGCGTTGTTAGCAATGCTGATACTAATTCGCTGATGAATGTGTAACTGTAAAACAGTGCATAGTAAAATTATAATTGCTAGTGCATCACTGCAAAAATCATTGAACACCCCCGAGAGGATGAAAATACTTAAGGCTTACCCCCATCTCCCTCGACTACCACTTGAAAATTGTGGGATCCAATTTTAAGTGACTGAGCAGTGATACTTCTCACGTCTAGTATCAATGGCTTAAGTGAGGTATCAATCGTAAGTTTCGAATGACAAATATTTATAGGTGATTGTTTCTGTCCTCCTGCAGCTGGGAAACGGAGCGCCCAAGTATGTGGCCCTATAGTCATATATCATTTTGTAGACAAATAACCTACCATTTATTCCACCGTAGTCATACGCCATTGTGGGGTAAGCGACAGCAGAAACTCATACGAAGATAGGAAGACGCGCTCCTGAATCCAATAAGGTACCTCCCTAAGGTCAAATATCACGTTTGTCAGATAAAACAAAAATGACCATAGTAGCAGAAAAGCTGATGCAATACAATAAGCAGCAAAAGTTCAGCAAACATGAAAAATGTACATGGTGCTTGTAATTTCGTATGAAGAGGTGGGTATACGGGTTTTAACCCAAATCAGGTCACGTCAAATAAGGTCCTGAAGACGGTACAGGATTTCGCCTAAGGAGGGTCCCGCTTATTGTACCAGGGTAATGTGCGGTTGGTCGTGCATTCCGGTGGCTTCTGTGTCCGGGAAGCCTAGTAGACCGAGGGTGGCTAAAAGTCAACGGCGAGATTTCGTACGCGACTGCAAAAACAGCTAGAGTGTGTCTGTGCTGGTTGGATTGTGTGCTTTGTCACATCTCGTAGCTATCTGCGCTGTACTGTCGCAGCTGCCGATTGAAGATCGTTCGCGCGTCGGCTGTTTTGTTAGTGTACATCTATGCACCAAAAATGGTGGCTCAAGCAATACTGGAATCGAAATGGAAAGGTTAAGAGCAGAGGAAATACCGAGCACGATATAGGCTTGCATAAGGACAAATTACCGGTTGCCTTTCTAAAGCGACACTGCCGAGCTACAACCAGTAAGCAACCCAAGACCTCGGCAATTCGACGTTACAATGTTTCTACGTATAAGAGGGAAAAGAGAGAACAAGAGCAATTTGTTTCTCTCCTGGTAGTAAAGGTACAATGTTTCAGGGAAAAGATCTAGCTGTTGTTCATCTAGGCCAGTTTTGAGCTTTTCTAGATGGGTTCATTTGCTGCAATCAGTAGCATGCCTATTCCAGCTGCTTACTACACCATTTGTAAAAATTCCCCTTGAGGTACACCCGGGACCTCTGTTGTTTGAGCTTAAGCCAGTGTTCACGCAAGTAGTCAGACAGCCATCTCAGGCGAACCTGTGGGATTGCTCCCACGCAAAGTTGAACGTTCCAAGTAGGTCACCACTTACTCTATAGCTTTCCATAGAAAACAATCATAAGCTTCTTAAACGGTCATCAGAAGTCTTTCCACAGTGACCTTCAATCCTTCTGGTCACCAGTTTCTTTAGCTACTCTATACTAGTGGAAGCAATACCTAACTAAGGAGACCAAGCCTGAACCCAATACTTGGATGTGGTCTAACAACTGCTTTACACAACGGGTGAAAGGTTTCTAATTAGGTGTTACACAAGGTTCGCTTGAGAAGGAATAACGCTCGCCGCGCCTAATTAGCGGCACGGCGACATTGTGCAGAGGGTGTAAAGGGTTTACCATGAGGATAGCGAGTTCAAGTGCTTGGCTATTAGTCTGCAGTGTCATAGACGCCGTCATAGTCTGAACTGTAAGTTACTAATTTATTGTGGTCAATAACTGAATAGTAGTATTTAGGTGTACTCCACTGCATCGCCTACGTGACTACCTTGGCTATGTCCTCAAAAAGTTCCACGATCTACCATACGGATCAACTTCAGTTCGCCATGAAAAATAAAGCACGCGTTTTTAATCAGAGGTGCCATGTCATTTTTAAACATCAGGAACAGTAAAGGGACCAGTACCGAGCCTTGCGTGACGTCACTATACTTTTTGCTCCGAATAGAGGACGCATCACTTAGTCGACACAAAACGTTTACCATGTAAATATTCTGGAACCTAATTTAATAGCTTGCAATAGGTCCCGATGCATGACAATTTCTTTAATAGGAAACGATGGTTCTTTGAGTCAGAGGCCGTAAGACGCCCAGCTAACACACCTCTCTATACCATTGCTGTGGAACTTATCATCGGTGGCAAGACTATAAGGCACCGTCAAAATACATTAAAGCGAAATCAAACTTGAGCAATTGCAGTCACAATAATTTCAGAACGACTTGCTATGCGTCTTTCATACGATGGCTTTGAAGTGCGCAACAAAACATGGGAATCGTTATTTCAGCTATACTCTCACTAATCTGGTGCATCAATGTCTTTTGAATGATTATTGTGTACCCCTTAAATTGGATTAAATCGTTATTCTTAACTCCTGACTGATACTGGTTTGAATGCACCTTTATCCATATAGCTTAGGCCTGGGTGAGTAACACGCGACATGGATACTAGACCTTGCGGATTCCTTCATCCTTCCCTGCAGCCTCCACTATATAATGGAATCCAGTGGTCCGTATCAGCCGCATTGACCGAATCTAGTAATCCTCGCTGGCATCTTTGTCATCAAGTAGTATCTGAGGCGTCCTCAACAACAGAAATTAGCTAAACATGTAGGTTGAGCTTAATACATGTTGCGGACGTTGGTGCCACTTTGCCTGTGGAAATTTCCCAGTGTTACACCTCACAAAGTGTTCAAGTTTTTAAGTTTAACGAGGCGGAGAACACAAAGATAGTAAAAGGCAAGCCTAACTTGTGTGCCTACATGTAATCGAAGCAGCACACCGGTTTGACAACCTACAAGGGAATCCGCAAGCACTTAAATAATGGATAAAAGGACGTTTTTCTCAACCGAACAACCTCTTGATGCCAGCTTGGCGGTTCGGGTTTGCCCCGTACCAGCAACTAGTCCGGCGGCAATGTTCCAGGACGTGGTGTGTTTTCTCCTGGCAAACGTACGCCCTAGAACATACCACAACTATCTGCTTAACGATATGGTGAGTTGGCTGTTGCGACTCGAGAACACTAAAGTCATCACTTTGCTTATGTGAAGAACAGCCTCAAGTCCACAAAGCTCAAGCATACGTTTAGCATTGGCGACATGCGTAAAAGTGTAGCAAAGCATTCACATTTGCTATAAGCACAGCTACGCACGTTTACATACCCACATTCATAAATTGAGCTAGCAACATTAGTGGAAAACCTATTGTTCAATTCTACATTAACTGGGCAGATTTAGTACCCTTAGCATGACCATACGTGTGCAGGCGTGCCTCGCGTAGTCAAGGGTCAACTGTTTATTTAATTAGTTTTTTTTATAGAGATGCATATCATGGGGCCTGACTACTTAGGTGGCATGATGCACGAAATTTCCTTACTATTATGCACATTTGTTTGGATAGCAACCAACTATTGGCACACAATGCTGCAAACATGGCGCGGATAGAGCAGTAAATAATATTTCCAGTTAATTTCTTCTGGGTACGTGTAGCATTATTTTGCAAAATAATCCGTTATGTGAAAATGAAGTCAGGGCTCCTGTAAAAGGTCTATAGGATGGAGTTCAATAAATTTGTACAACGGATCAACATCGCGAAGCAAACCTTTTCTGTCGGGTTCCAGGTGAAAAGAGTATTTGCACGAAAAATGCACGTTTGCTTTAGTATGTGCTGTTTATTGGCGGCCGAAACCAGAATAATGCTAGTAGCAGTAGGGAAAGGCTTATATTTTTAAGGGCGGGAAAGGGTTTCGCGGGCAATTTATGCGAACATCAAAGCTCTTTAAAATCGCTACGTCCTTTATGTTTAGCCCTTATGCTTTTGCACAATTGATACAAAATTGGTAATGGAAAGCGGAGTGCTTTTAAAACCGGTTATGATAAATAAAGTGATAACTACCGATGTATGCGAAGCTCACACGTTATTTGTATGAAGGAATTTATGAAGTAAGGATGAAATGTAAGAACATCTCTTATGGACGGGAAGAACTGCGCTGCGGTTTATATGTGTATACCAAATTTGTAAATGAGTAAATCAAAGATTTTATGGAAATCACGTGCTTAGGATTCTGTGATAATTATTGTCCCTGTGACGGTTGTACACGTTGTATTTCTGCGCATTCACGTTAAAAGCAAGAACATTTGTTTGCCAGATGTTTTCTTAACGCTGAAAAGGAGAAATCAGCACCTAACATCCCATGGGACAACGGATGTTAAATGGCATCATATCCGATAAATTTCGTATTGTAAAATAATGTGAGCATGCACGTTTCTGTTTGATGGTATCCATGAAGGTAGCGGAGAATGATCCTGTGACTGAGTGATGAATGTCCCAGTTAAGGAATCGGCCAAAGAAACAATTATACTAACTAGAACGGGTTGATGTGAGGTGCATTTTCTAGACTATATATAGGAATCGAAGGCCCTTGGTCGGCGTGCATGTCGCGATCTTATCACGAAGGCAGTTGCCGAAGTGCTGAAGAGTGACTTTCTACATGCAGAGAAGAAGCGACAAGTGCGGAAACGGCAAGCACCGATGGGTTGTACTCTATCGACGTCGAGCGCATGGTGCGGTAGCACATGCGGTCGCGAGTGTGTGAGTCAGGCAGGCTTAGTGGGTAATGAGCGCGGCCACTGGTGACAACTACCATATCGACAACGGGTCCTGCAGTGAACGTATGCAGAACCAGCGCAGCTTTTGTAAGTATGTTGCAGTCGAGTTACTAAGCGCATGCTTGCAAGCTAAATCTCTTTATTTCAGGTGGAGGTTTGCAATTTTGTCTTAATGCTTTTCTTTCCCAAATTAATGTCTACCAGCACGCCATCCTATAAATTTTCTCAAGCCGCTTAAGCTCATTGTAGCTGATTTCGATAACACTTTCGTGTTTGTGGCATTTCCGTAAGCTATACTCTCTTACCTCGTGCACCGATCTCGGATCCTTTGCAAACAACATATTTCATCTGTTCAATAAATTAGGATTTTTTCACGTTTCCTTACGTATTACTGGATTTCTTTTCTTCGTTAGCTTTCTTGCAAGTGATTGGCTGTTGCTTGATATGCCCGGTGTGGCTGCGCTTGATGTGAATGTTGACCAGGTGCCTACATGTCTATTACCCACTACCTCGTCTGTACTGTCTCTAGAAGACAGCTGGTCTTTGCTGGAGGTGACTGGGGGCACTGTTCATGTGGCCGTGTTAGGATCAGAGAGTGGTGCCATGCGCTCAGTGAGGACCGGACTACGGTCCATCCACCGCCTTTTGTGTGCGCTTGATTCCCCAAATACAGCGTGCTTGTGTGTGCCTGTGAAGGAGTGGGAGCTGGCTCCATTGATGAAATGTGGCCACATAAACGTGCCTCCCGGTCTTATTCCT